TGCCATGCATTAGCCATGCTATCACGTGCAACACCACTAGGCTTGCATGCAGAAGACTGCTGTGATTCTGGGACAGCAGGTTCAGACAGAGAGGCGGCTGTTGTGGGGTAGATACTGAAAGTCCAGTAGCATGCTAAACCAATGCTGGTGAGGCCACTCAAAGATGATCAGGATTTACTTTTGCCCCATTCTGTTTGATCTACACAAGGACTCTGTGGATCAGTGGCACTAGTGGGAAGGTATACATCAGGGTCCCTGAGCATCAGAGCAGGAAAGCATGACAGGGAACCCCTGGGCATCCCATGGAGAGAACAGAACGTGGCATTTCCTGTTCTGACAGGATGTGAATTAGTCTGCCTGGGGAGTCCCCCACTTCAGAAAAATAATACTGACCACCTCCAGGTGGAGCAGCCACTTGTGGCAAGATGAGAGGGTCCTGCTGAGGAGATCTGCAAACATGGTCCCTGGAAGATGCATGGCTATCAGATGAATGTCCTGCTGCACATGAAGTGCAAAGGCAGAGAGCTTCTTGGCAAAGGGCCAATTTTCTGGCTCTGCTTTGCCTGTTGATATAATATGTTGCAGTGTTATAAATATACTGCAGTGTTATAGTCCATGAAACACTGCACCGTCTTGCTCTTCAGGTGCGGCAAGAAAGCCTGGCAGTCCAAGCAAACCACTTTGAGCTCCCAAACATTGAGATGGAGAGCCAGGTTGTTACGCAGTTAGCAGTCTTATGTACTGAGCTCACCCAGGTACACACCTCAGTTCAGGTCCAAAGTATTGGAGACCAGCATGAGCTCCAGGGACAGGGCCACAAAGGGAAATCCCTGCAACACCGACTGGGAGTTCATCCACCAAGCCAGGGACACAAAAATGAGATCTGGCATCCTGACTATTTGGTGCTTGTTGGGAACATAAATCAACACCAGCAGCTTTTGCAGGGGTCAGACAAAGAGACAGGAATAACTGACCGCGTATGTACAGGTGGCCATGTGGCCCAACAACTGTAAGCGGATGTGAGGCAAGTTGAGTGGATGCTTCTTCACATGGAGAGCAGGCTGATAGGGTCTGAAAATGCACTTATGAAAGGAAGACTCTGGCTCACATGGAGCTGAGAACTCTGTCCATTGGACTGGCCTTAATGTGGCTTTTTTTTCATTTATCAACAGGCCTTGGTCACGGCAGGTGGAATGCACCAGATCATGCTTCTCTGTATTTGTTCCTGAGACCTGCTTTGACAAGTCAGTCATCGAGAGATGGGAAGACCTGGACCCCTCAAAGTTTCAGATAAGTAGCCACTGGCACCATGTTCTTGTGAAGACTCTTGAGGCAGTTGCTGTGAAGGTCACTTACAGGCACAAGCCTGATGGAGACTGTGCAAGGCTTAAACCAAGAAGACTGGAACATATCCCACTTGGGGCAAAGTCCCCACTGAGACTCTAACTTTTAACTACACTTAACTGCTTAACACTGACTACTGTAAACAAACCATTTACAAGGCCCTAAGATTTGAAGTCAGTAGAGACAAAAAATGCTAGCTTTTGCTATGCAAGGAAAGACATTCCAACCAACCATTACTCTTCCAGCCCTAGGATTCTATGATTATGAGTGGTAAGAAGAAACTGAGAGGGCACAGGGCCAGCAGTGCCTGATACACTGACAAATGGGTGCGGTGCTCAAGGGAGCACCACTGTCGACCTTACAGATAGCAGTAAGGCCGTGGTGTCCAACACACTAGTCACTAGATAAATGTGGCTACTGCTTCAGAATTGGTTGGACACCATGGCACTAAGGCAAAAATCTCTGACGAGCGCGCATGTAGGTGTATGCACATCTAGCATGGAATCAATATCAGCAAGCATTTGAAGAACTGTGGTTTTTATCCCTCCTGATGAGCGTTGTTTTCAGGTTGCACAGTTCCCTGCCTACACTGTGATATTCCCCACAAGCCAGACTGCCTAAATAGACCAGCATCTGCACTATTTTTTCTTTTTGAAGGCTATGAACAGCTGTAATTGCTAGAAATTATGTATTACTATGCAGCCTTTTACAAGCAAGCACATTTATTCACAAGATGAAAGCAATACTGACAAAACTAGGTGATTGGGCAAGAAAACGGCAAATGAATTGTATTGTTGATAAATGTAAAGTAATGCACATTGGAAAAAATAATCCCAACTATACACACAAAATGCTGGGGACTAATTTAGCTATTATCACTAAAGAGAGAGCTTTTGGAGTTATTGTGGATAGTTCTCTGGAAACAGCCACTCAATGTGCAGCAGCAGTTAAAAAAGCAAACAGAATGTTTGGAATAATTTTAAAAGGGATAGAGAATAAGACAGAGAATATCTTATTGCCACTATGTAAATCCATGGTATGTCCATATCTTGAATATCATCTCAAAAAAGCTATATTGGCATTGGAAAAGGTTCAGAAAAGGGCAACAAAAATTATTAGGGGTTTGGAATGGCTGCCATACTAAGAGAGATTATAAAGACTGGAATTTTTCATTTTAAAAAAGAGGAGACTAAGGGGGAATATGATAGGGTATGTCTACACTACCCCGCTAGTTCGAACTAGCGGGGTAGTGTAGACATACCCCAAGAGATCTATAAAATCATGACAGGTATGGAGAAAATGAATAAGGAAAAGTTATTTACCTGTTCCCATAACACAAGCAGGTTTAAAACAAACAAAAGGCAGTTTTTTTCTTCACGCAGTGCACAGTCAACCTGTGGAACTCCTTGCCAGAGGATGTTGTAAAGGCCAGAAGTTTAACAGGGTTAAAAAAAGAACTAGATACATTCATGGAGGTTTGGTCCATCAATGGCCATTAACTAGGATGGGTAGGAATGGTGTCCCTAGTCTCTGTTTTTCAGCAGCTGGAAACTGATTACAGGAGAGAGATCATTTGATGAATCCCTGTTTCTGTTCCCTCCCTCTGGGACACCTGGTATTGGCCACTGTCAGAAGACAGGATATTGGGCTACATGGACCTTTGGTCTGACCCAGTATAGCCATTCTTACGGTAATTCAGAGAGAACATATGCATGCTAAAAGTTTAGTAAAGATCCTCCATGAATATTCTTGAGTCTAAGTCGACCAAAGTCGTCCTAACCCCAGCCAGGAAAGATTTGGGGTTCTTGGGACAGAGAGTCCTACCAGGATCAGAGAGAAGGCCCTGAGTCAGTTTAAACTCAGGCTATTCATATAAAAGTATATTCTTTGCCTGTTGTTCCCTTGAGAGGATAAAATCATGCACCATGAGGTAACTGAGTAAAGATGAATTCTATATTGTGACTGTCCTGCTGTAACTACAGGGAGGAGGCCCTGAATGCTTGGCCGTGGCATTAATGCATATAAATAAAAAGTATAATTCAAAGAGACAGAATACAAAACTCAATAAAACAATACACCTGACACCAGAGAAGAATGGACTCAATCAAAGCTATTTGGAAAGTTTTAATGAAGAGAAATTCAGCCTTGGTTCTCTAATTCTTCTCTTGGCAGGAAAATTATCTTAGTGCAAAAATAAAGCTGGAGATTGACCGACCTTCTCACATTTAGGGTCTGTCCAGAACATGGTTGAGGAACAATCATGAATAATGGAATGGACAACATGGGGAAGCTTGCACTGCTACTCCCTGTGTTATACTTGTGTCTGTGAATAAAGAGAGAACATGTCAATCTCCAGTACTCCCAATCCAGCAACTTTTTCCAGCATTAAATACAATTTAAAAGTGAAACATAAATCCTCTAATAACTAAAGGTTCTGTTCATTTCTGTCCAGCTGAAGGATGTATAGCCCCAACTGACTTCTCCATTTTTCACTGAAGAGAAAAGTTATTTGTGGTGGATCTTCCATTGTTAAGTGTGGAAATATTAATGTCTCATTCTTGAACAAAACCCCACATTTCTCTATTGTTGTTTTGACTGTACCAGGCGTTATAATAAAAAAATGACAAGTTCTTTCTTTATCAATCTCTCTAGAACCACAGGAAATGTTGTTTGCTAATTGTACCAGTGTCTGGCAAAGGGTCTTTTCTTCAGTTCCAGCCATATCAATTATTTCTACTAGTGGGTCTTTCTTATTAATACTGAGCAAAAATCTGGGAGGCATATAGGTGTGAGCAAAGAGTAGAGTATAGTGTGCTGGATTGTTCAGGGACTCTGGAGAATGTATGAGTTGTTCTAAATGAGACAGACATGGGATCAGTCCTCCCTGGTGTAAGCACCCAAACAAAAGGGCACCAAGAACATTGAAAACAAAAATGATGGGTTTCCACTTTAGGGTCCTATTCTGCAATGTGATCAATAGGACTAGTGGTAAAATAAGAGGAATGAGGAATCGAGGTTCTTGGTGGTTGAATTGAGAAAGAAATGCCAAAGGAACAAAATAGAATGATAATAATATTGGAGTGGCCTCAGCAAACATCATCATTGTAAGTGGCATATGATTACGTAGTCTGATCCATAATTGATGGATGTTTATTTTCAGCATTTTTAAACCAGTGCTGATGGCTAGAATGTGTAGAATCCCAAAGAGTATTATCCCATTGACTGCAAAATGAGTAAATCGTGGGTGAATCCCATGCTGTGCAAGATTATGGGGATTAAGGTTATAGCGGAGAAAATTAAAAGGGGTAACTATTACATTCTGATTTATTTGAGCTATGGTGCTTAACAGGCCATTCTTTTTAATGCTGTACAGGCTAATCTCTGATCCAATGGAGGTAAAATATAATGTATCAGCTACTGTGAAGATAATGGCAGTGAAAACTGTGCTGGAAACAAACTTCCAGAGATGGTTTGCAATAGTTTTAATGCTGTGCTGAGAAGTGGCATTTAAAACTGTCCAGTAAAGCAGTGGCATTAAAGCAAATGCTAGAAAAGTTGGCCTGTTGAAAAACCCAGCAACTGTTATAATCCCTATGAAACCGCTACTGGTAGATTTTGCCTGGTTGATGTCTGATTTAGGTGCTGTTCCATAACCAGCTGCTTTTGGAGATACTAGTACCATCAGCAGGGCAAACAGTAGTCCTTCAAGCGTATTGGTAAATGTTCTTGTATAAAATACTAGTGTAACATAGGACCCAGCAAGCAGAACCAGAGCACTCCAACGATCTGCACCCCAGAAAGGCGCTATGCGATACACGGTATAGTCAAGTATGAAAGAAAAAATGGTGAGGAGAAGGCGAGGTGTCACAAGAAGGGTGTAGCTGTTGATGCCATTTGACCAGATGCCTAGCTGTTGCAAAGACTTGATCATCCAGTAGGTAATGCCACATGTAATTAATGGAAACACAACTGTTCTACAAGGAGAACTGGAAAGGAATTCCCAGGGATAATAGACTTGTAGGTCTAAAATATCTCCTGTGGAGGGAGAAAAAAAGTAGATGACACATTTTGGTAAACTGACCAGCATATGTGCATTAAAAATACAGATTAGAGGCATCATGATTTAGTGGACAATAAGACTGTAACAAAACCATCTAGGACTCCAGATTACTGGTTATGTTGTCCTCCGTGTCTATTTAGAACTTTATGGTGAAAACAGAAAGAGAAACTGATCTTCCTGTTCCCAAAATAAAAATGTCTACCAGCTGAGGTGCTCCAACCCCAGCTGCCGCTCTGCTCCACCTCTGGACACTGTTTAAGCCCCAGTGACTGCTCCAGGCCTGGTTACTGCTCCAACCTCCTGCTGCTCTGACCTCTGGGGCTGCTTTGACTGTGGCCATGGTGGCTGCTTCCTGCTGCCCTATCCACTGCTTGGACCACTTCTCCAATCCCAGAACCGAACCTGATCTTGCTGCTGTACCAGCTATGAGGGCTACCATTCTTCCAGCCCCAACTGCTGCTCCTGCTGCAGGGGCTTCTCTTGCAGCCAGGGCCAAAGCTAAAGACCTCCGAGTGAATTAAAATTGTAGAATCTGTGACCTCTATGACAAAAAACATACCCTCAATTGTAATATACATAGAACCCACTGTATAGGAGAGTTGTGAGGGTTCATTATAGTTACTTGCATAGTGCTTTCTGTAGTTGAAAAGTATGATAAGAATTATTATTTTGTAAAAAGGTTCAAATGGAAAGTTCAGTTCTCAAAATATTTTCATACAAATTGTTGACTGTATAGAAATAGACTAGAACATAGCTTTGTTGTTAATCAACTGGAATTCCTACATAATAGAATTAGAGTCCAATTCTATAACCACCCAACATGCAGAATATCCATTAGCTTCAGTAAATCTCCTGCTTAGTGAGCCTGAAGAATTTAGAGACATTTAAGGTCAGAAGAGAGCACAGTGATCACCTAATCTGACCACTGTTTCACAAAGTACATAGAATTTCACTCAAGGTTTGCTGCATCAAGATGAATAGCTATGCATTATGTGACAAACCACTTCATTTTGTTTGTTTTATATCTTCTGCCTATTAATTAAGTTTCTTGTGTTATGTCAAAGAGTAAATAACACTTACTTTCTCTAGACCAGTAGTTTTCAAACTTTTTGGCCCATGGCCCATCCTGCTCAACACAAAACTTTGTGCGGACCACCAGTCAACCACCTATTATGACAAAATGGGTGCAGGATGGGGTGCAGGTGCAGGGTCTAGCTGGGAGTTAGGGTGCAGGAGTTGGCAGAGGGTCTGGCCAGGAAGTGGAGTCCAGGAGCGGGATGAGGATGGGGGGGGGTCTGGCCAGGAGGTTGGGTGTAAGAGCAGGCTGAGGATGGTGGGGAGAGTCTGGCTGGGAAGTAGGATGCAGGAACAGAATGAGTGCAGGGAGGCCTAGCCAGGATTCCAACCAATGGAAGGTGAGTAGTTTTCTCCCAGCCATTTTCCTCCCCCCATGAGCTGGATCCAGCCTGCAAGGCTTGGGGCTACCCCTATAGTGGGAAGCCAACCTTGGAGGGTGTGTATGAGGGGCTGGACCACCAGTATGGACTTCCCACTGCAGAATGGGGCAGCCCTGAGCCCAGCTATAAGACAGTCTTGGACCACACTTTGAGAACCACTGCTCTAGACCAGTATTTCTAAACCAGTGGTATAAGTACCCTTGGGTACTCGAGAGAAGTCTGGGGGGTATGTCAACACAACTGAAATTTGGAGAAAACTGAATTTTTGTTTTAAGATTTACAGCGCTTTATTATTTTTGTACTTTTTACATCCAAAAATTTTATCACCTGCCGAGCTACGATTAAATTGTTTAAACAAATGTGTTGCAATGGTAGAAAAAAATTGTGTGTCTGAAAACTGTAGGTACTTTTTTTTTTGAAAAGGGGTACTTTATTTAAAAAAAAAAAAAGGTTGAGACACACTGCTCTAGACCATTCATGATTCTATAGACCTCTATCAATGCCCACTCTAGACATATTTCTTCTCATTTGAACAGTTCCAGTCTTTTTAATCTCTTCTTATATGCAAGGTGTTTCATATCCCTAATAATTTTTGTTGCCCATCTCTCCACCTTAATCAATTTATAATATTTCTCTTTTGAGATGGGAGGGGAACAGAACAGCATATGTGGGTAAAAAATGGATTTATATTGTGGTATTATATTATCCATCCATTTCCAAACATTCTGTTAGCTTTTTTGACTGACACTGCACATTAAACAGATGTCTTTTGACAAATTACTAATCCATGAGATAACCTTTCCTCTTTCCCATGACTGCTTACTTTGCATCAAACCAATTGGTAAGGGATCTTGTTCAAGGCTTTCTGAATATCCAAATATGCTATATCTACTGCATCACCCTTTTCCATACGTTTATTGAACCCCTCAAAGAATTCCAATGGTTTGATGTCACGATTTCCATTGTCTTCAATGATGAAATAACTGGCTCTGTGGATATGGGGAAAGCAGTGGATATATTTTACGTTGACTTTAGAAAAGCTTTTGATACTGTCTCCCACAATGCTCTTGCAGGCAAGTTAAAGAAGTATGGCTTGGATGAACGGACTGTAAAGTGGATAGAAACTGACTAGAAAGTCGGGCTCAATGGGTAGTGAACAACGGCTCAATGTCTAGCTGGCATTCAGTATCAAGTGAAGTGCTCCAGGGATCAGTCCTGGGGCAACCTTTGTTCAACATCTTTACTAAGGATCTGGATGATGGGAAGGATTGCACCCTCAGAAAACTTGTGGATGAGACTAAGCTTGAGGGAGAGAGAGAAATGCTGGAGGGTAGAGACAGGGACTATAGTGACCTAGACAAATTGGAAGATTGGGCCAAAAGAAACCTGATGAGGTTCAACAAGGAAAAGTGCAAGGTCCTGCACTTAGGATGGAAGAATCTCAAGCACTGCTACAGGCTGGGGACTAACTGGCTAAGTGGCAGTTCTGTAGAAAAGGACCTGAGGATTACAGTAGATGAGAAGCTAGATGAGAGTCAACAGTGCGCCCTTGTTGCCAAGAAGGCTAACGGCATACTGGATGCATTAAGAGGAGCATTGCCAGCAAATTGAGGCAAGTGATTGTTCCCCTCTGTTAGGCACCGGTGAGGCTGCATCTTGAGTACTGCATCCAATTTTGGGGCCCCCACTACAGAAAGGATGTGGACAAATGGTGAGACTCCAATGGAGGGCAATAAAAATTATCAGAGGCTTGGGAAGCATGACTTATGAGGAAAGGCTGAGGGAACTGGATTTATTTAGTCTGCAGAAGAGACGAATGAGGGGGGATTTGATAGCAGCCTTCAACTACCTGACAGGGTGTTCCAAAGAGGATGGAGCCAGGCTATTCTTAGTGGTGGCAGATGACAGAACAAGAAGCAATGGTCTTAAGTTGCAGTGGGGTAAGTCTAGGTTGGCTATTAAGAAAAACTACTACAGTAGGAAGGCAATGAAGCACTGGAATGGTTTACCTAGGGAGGTGGTAGAATCTTTATCCTTTTTTAAAGTTTTTAAGGCCCAGCCTGACATACCCCTGGCTGGAATGATTTAGTCGGAATTGGTCTTGGTTTGAGTGGGAGGAGTTGAACTGGATGACCTCCTGAGTTCTCTTCCAACTATAGTCTCCTATGATTCTAAATCAGGGGTGAGCAAAAGGGCCTCCATAGGCCAGATCCGGCACGCCAAGAAGATTGATCCGGCCCACAGAGGCTCTGCCGCTTCCCCGCCCCCAGGCCAATGTCTTGATTGGTCTGGAGGTGGGGAAGCTGTGAGAAGTTTCCTCCGCCTTCCCCCCCACCCTGTGATGAGCACACAGCACGTCAAAGTGCCATATGCTCACGCAGGGCAGGAGCAGGACGAGGGAAGCTTCGCACAGCTCCCCCGCCCCCAAGCCAATCAGGACTTGGGGGTGGGGGAGCACATGATGTCTCCTCCCACCCTGAGAGCTGCACATGGCACTTTGAAGTGCCGTGTGCTCCTTGCAGGGCGGGAGTAGGCTTCATGCATACCCCCTGGCCCCAGGACAATCAGGTCCTGGGGACAGGGGAGTGTGTGAAGCCTCTTCCGGCCCTGCCAGGGGCATGGGTGCCTAGTGGGAAGGGGGGCAAAGGGTCTCCTTCACTCCCAGGCCAATTATGGTCTGGGGGTGGGGAAGTCGAGAAGCATTATGGTCCTGCCCCTTCTGGATTAGGCCCCGCCCCTTCTGGGGTGGCACGGGGCCACTTCAAAAATTATTGCCCGCCCCTGTTCTAAATCATGTTCATCTATACATCTGATAATTCTGCTCTTTACTATAGTTTCAACCAATTTTTCTGATACTGAAGTTAGGTTAACCAAGACCACTTTTAGTGCCTTTTTAAAAAAATTGGCACGGGCTGTCCTCACTATAAGTCCAAGATACATTTCAAAAAAACTAGGTCTTATACACCTTAAAGCATGGAATTTTTTCCATGTGGCTGACTTCCATTTGTGCAAATTGGGGGGGAGGTGGGATGTTGCGTGTCTTAAGAGCAGGGTATGGGAGGACTTATAACGCATCAGTTCCTACAAGCATCAACGACTTTCGTGCAAAACGGATGTATATAGGGGCAACTTATAGCAGCGACACCCTGTATCACATTAGCTATCCTCTGATCTTCTGGCACAGAAGTTGATTTAAGCAATTGGTTACAAACCACAACTAGTAGTTCTCCAATTACACGTGGGCATTCATTTAGTACAATTAAATGAGTACCATCTGATCCTGGTTACTTGTTACTGGTTAACGTATCCATTTCAAAGTCACCTCTATTAATACCTCAATCTGGGAGAGTCCCTCAGATCTTTCACCTAGAAAGAATGGCTCAGGTATAGGAATCTCTCCCAGATCCTCTGCAGAGGAGACTGATGCAAAGAATTCATTTAGCTTCTCTGCAATGGCCATATATTCCTTGAGTGCTCCTTTAGCATCTTGATTGTCCAGTGCCCCTACTAATTGTTTGGCAGGCTTCCTGCTTATGACATATTTACTTTTTTTGGCTGTTACTTTGTATCTTTTGTTGCTTTTCTAATTCTTTTTTGGCTTCACTAATTATGCTTTTACACATGACTTGCCAAAGTTTGTGCTCCTTTTTATTTTACTCAGCATTTGACTTTTAATTTTTAAGGGATACCTTTTTTTGCCTCCAACTCCCTCTTCCCCTCTATTTAGCTGTGATTACTTTTTTATTATTATTTGGAATATACATTTAATTTGAACGCCTCTTAGGGTGTTTCTAAGAGTTTCCATGCAATTTGTTGGCATTTCATTCTTGTGATTATTCATTTTAATTTCCATTTTACTAGCTTCCTCTTTTTTATGTAGTTCCCTTTTTTGAAGTTAAATACTACAGCGGTGGGCTTGTTATTTTGCTCCCTGTAGTTAGGTGGATTTACTGCCATAGTGGCCTCACAGGTCTCTGGCTCTGTTGATGATGGTAACCAGAAGGCTGCTTGTGTGTGTGCCCAATGATGTGGGCCCAATGACCACAGCAGACCCTGAAGGTGCCAGGTCAGGTTTATTGTAAAGCGAAGTATAGTAGCGGTTGACAGTAGACTCTACTGAACCACTACGCACATGTACTGCCACAATGGAATGACTCAATCAGTGGGAAATTTCTACTGCCCCCGATCACACACAGACTGTCCCCCCAGTACACCACCTTATATACTGGTACAAACAAATCACACCTCAGTACTGACATCAGGTTGCCAACCTCTGACGTTGTCAGGTTGCCACCCTCTGACACTTAGATACCACCCATCACCCTGTACCTCGTGGTTTGATTAGATCATCTCTATTTACCATGCTGTCATTCTAGTCCCGTTCCTGAACTGGAGTCAGTATCGTGAGGAGTGGGTACCAAGGTCTTTTTTAATGAGCTAGTGATATCATGTGCTTTCCACTTATGACCAGTACCAATTACTGTTCTGCAGTCAGTACCTAGCACCAATTAGTGTTTTGCACACTCAGCCCTGTTCATGCCAAGTTCTGTGAGCTGGGGCCTGCCTCTTGCTCACAGCTTAGCTTTGCTTTATGTTAGCCATGTTTTGCCCATTGTTAGGTAGGCCTCAGGCCTCAAACCAAGCCTGTGCTGTATTGGCTTATGTTTTAGGCCTTCATCTTACTACACTCCCTACAAGGATATTAAATTAAATGACCATATGGTCACTATTATCTAGCAGTTCAGCCATATTCACCTCTTGGACAAGATCCCATATTCTGCTTAGAAGATCTTAGGAGCAATAAGCAGACCTGTTATTTATAGATGGAAGACTGGAACGGGGGCAATCTGTGAACTCTTGTGTTGGTGCATGTTCTCACATTAGCAGATTAGTACAACAATCCAATCAAAATCCAGCTGTACAATTACATATTTTATATACATGAATGATTTTAGCCTCAGAATATATTGTCCTGGTGAGGTACCAAGTAGTATATTATTCTAATGTTACAGATGGGAAAACTGAAGCAGAGAGGTGCAGTTATGTGCTTAGAGTCATACTGCCTATCAATGGGACAGCCAGATAGATGCTCAACAATGCTGTCTTTTTACATCTGATAATGTGAATAATGCAATGCTTCCTGCTTATGTCACTAGAATATAGAGAATTAATAGAAACTAGCTTTCTAAAAGTAATCATGCACAAATGCAGGAAACTTTACCTGCCATGACCTCAGCTGATTGGAAGAATTCATCAGGATGAAGGTAACCTGTCTGAGGAAGAAGACACCAGAAAATTCTGAGCAGAGCAAGAATCCCCCAGAAAGTCTTGGCTGACATCGTAAGTTCACACCACTTGCCAGAACTGAATGACGTCTGGGCAAAGTCACAGATTTGAATTATTAGAAACGTTAGTTGCCATGGGATCAGTAACTTGGACTCTGAAATGCACAAAAAGTTTATTACACAAATCTTGCCCATCAAAAAGAGTAAAACATTGTCAATCATGTTTAAAACTGTAAAGCAAAGGTATGTAAATGTATCCATGAAAACTAATTGTGGATAAAGTCTTGCCACTGATGTACACCTTTATGACTAATATTAGCCTTCAATGGGTGAAAGCCTTGCATAGCTAAGTGTGGATTTGGACCTTCATGGACACATTCTCATAGCTGGACACACAGGATTTACACACACAAATATATACACATCTATTACACCTGCTGACTTTTCTTAAAAGTCATGAAGTAACTGTAGGCCGCAGTATCCATTTGCAAGTTCATTTTACTCCATTAGCATATTCAAAAAATGTATTTGCATTTTTACAAAATTACCTACTGAGTTTATCTATGAAAATAAATTACTCCCTAATATAATTAACACAATCCACTTAAAACTATAAGACCATGTACAGTATGAGTATAGTGCTAGCCCAATAGGAGCAAAGGCACAGCATTTCTTTCTTTCAATATAGATAAATTAAATGTTTTTTGATTCTCATAAAGGAACAGACAATGTAAAGTACAAAAAAATCAGTTTATATTTCACTTTGATACTCTTAGACCTACACTAAAGCAAAGTACACTCTAAAACCCATTTGGGCCTCCTAGCATTTGAGTAAAATATCTTGAGTACACAGACAAAAGTACTCAAACAGTATACATCAAGGGTGGGCAATCATTTTCACAGGGAAGTTTTGGCAAATGGACAGGGGCCTCACTTTTCTATTGTATGAATGGGGAGGGGGGGGTTTGGGTGCAGGAGGGAGCTTCCGGGCAGGTGATTTGGAGTGCAAGAGGAGGTTCAGGTTCTGGGTTGGAGTTTGGGTGCAGGAGGGGATTCTGACTTAGAACAGGGGTTTAGGAGAGGGTGCAGAGTCTCGAAAGACATTTGGGTGCAGGAGGATGTTCTGACCTATGGTGCGTATAGGAGAGGTTATAGAGTCTGGAAGGAAATGTGGGTCCTGAAGGGGGTTTCAGTGCAGAAGGCGGCTAGGTTACCTGTAGAAGCTGTGTGGCCACGCAGCTGTTTTTTGAGCCTGGTTCAGAGCTTCCACACAGGCAGGGAGCTCAGCTGACCAGCTGAAGCAGGGGGGCAGAGCACTAGCCCTCCCGCTGAGGAGGAGCAGCGGCAGCTGCTGCTTGCTACAAATGGAGAAGCTGACTCCAGCCTCTGCTCCAGACCCTGCCCCCCCTCCCCCATCAAGGGTCTGTTTTTGCTGTGGATGAGCGAATTCTCTGACCAGAGAGGCAGGAAATACATGGAGGATCATGTGACCCAGATTGGGGTGGAGCTGCCAGACAAAGGGGAAGAGGGCCCCCATGCAAGGATGAATTGATGCTTCCTTGCCTGCTGTTGGCCATGTGGAAAAAACTGCATTAAATTAGAGGTGCAGCCAGATCAAGTGAACTTCTTCTCTGCTCTTTTCCCAAATCCTCCCCTCCCCTGTGAACTGCTAGCAAGGTGGCAATCTCCCTCCTCGCTTTCTGCTTCTCCCGTCACTCTCCCATTGGGGAACTGGATGGGCAGAGATCCCCTCTGTTTCATTCCCCTGCTGCCCATTTGGAGCAAGATAGTTGCTTTTTACTTCTCTGCCTGCTACTCTCCCCAAACTGCACCCTCCTCCTGTTCCATCACAACAAGACAGAACCTCTCTCTTCCCCCTTCCCCGTGCTTTCCTATTTTCACCCCACTTGGAATCAGGTCAGTATCTCCTCCAGTGAGAACAAGGCTAAACTTGTTCCTGCACTGCCACTGAAAATGGGAGGAAATCCCCCAGTTTCAGCCATCTCTTCCGTTTTTTTAACTCTCTTGTAAGTTCCAGATTTGGAAAGCTTCCCTCCCTGGCTGCAAGAAACAGGACAGCCACAGTCTACATGTGCAGAGGAGTTGGGGGCGGCAGTTTTCTGGTTGAATCAAGACATTTGGAAAGGATTTTGGGGGGAAGGAAAATAACCCCATGTTGTGAAGAGACGTGAGAGACAAAACACACGATAGGACAAGACTTTGGATAAAAAAGAAGGGTAATTGTGAAGCTGTGTGTTTCCTTGGGAACAGTGCAAGCTGGAGTCCCTGATAAATTTGTTCTGTGGATGTTATCTTAGGGAGTTAACTCTTTTAGTACCACAAGAATTCCCTTGGAAAGGGCCTGAGGGAAGCAGACTGCACGGCATGTGTGTGTATGCCATGTAGCCTATATGGTAGGAGTGGGCAATAATTTTTTTGCCAGGGGCCACTTAAAAAATTGCTGAAGGGGAACTATGCAAAAATGAGGAGGTTAAACAGAAATTAAAAGGTACAGTGACTGAAGTAAAATCCCTGCAAGCTGCATGGACACTTTTCAAAGACATCATAATAAAGGCCTGTCAGGGTTTGGGCTCCTCCTCAGGCTTACAGCCTTATCATCATTGGGGTCACCTGCCCGACGTCACCACCCTCCACCCATGTTCTGCGGTCTGTGTGTCCTGGTCACACAACCCAAAGACCCGTCAAAGCTCCCTGTCGGCAGGTGCGGTCAATATGCTGGCTCCGCGGCAGTGGGGGCAGAGGATTTGGGTCCACCACTCTCCGGGTTCCAGCCCGGGATCTGCCGGGGTCAGTGGTAGCGCCCCTGTTGACTCCCATCCTCTGCCCTTTTCTCCTCCCTGCCACTCTGACTCCGTTCCTCCTCCCCCTTCTCTGCTGGCGTCTCCCCCATTTAAACTCCCCTCCAACTCTAGCCCCGCCCCTTTTTCTCCCGGGCGCGGGTTGATGATGTCAGTCAGCCTTAGTCATGCCGCAGTCCTGCTTGGAAGCGGTAGGGGGAGCCCACCTCCGCGCGGGCGGATGCTTTTGCCGCGGTTCCGGCCTCCCCAGCACCCATGGGGGGTCAGAGAGTGCGGGGGGCTGAGGCCTCTGCTTCGTCGGAGTCCGGCGCCCCGTCACAAGGCCCAACTTAAATGTATACCCCAAATTAAAAAACACAGTAAAAGAACTGAAAAAGAGCCACTGTGGCTTAACAACCATGTAAAAGAAGCAGTGAAAGATAAAAAGGCATCTTTTAAAAAGTGGAAGTCAAATCCTACTGAGCAAAATAGAAAAGAGCATAAACACTGCCAAATTAAGTGTAAAAATGTAATAAGAAAACCCAAAAAGGAGTTTGAAGAACAGGTAGCCAAAAACTCAAAAGGTAATAACAAAATGTTTCTTAAGTACATCAGAAGCAGGAAGCCTGCTAAACAACCAGTGGGACCTCTGGAAGACTGAGATACAAAAGGAGCACTTAAAGACGATAAAGTCATTGCAGAGAAACTAAATGAATTCTTTGCTTTAGTCTTCACGGCTGAAGATGTTAAGGAGATTCCCAAACCTGACACGTCCTTTGTAGGTGACAAATCTGAGGAATTGTCACAGACAGAAGTGTCATTAGAGGAGGTTTTGGAAGTAACTGATTAACTTAACAGTAACATGTCACCGAGACCAGAGGGCATTTACCCAAGAGTTCTGAAAGAACTCAAATGTCAAATTGTGGAATTATTAACTATGGTTTGTAACCTATCCTTTAAATCAGCTTCTGTATCCAATGACTGGAAGATAGCCAATGTAACACCAATATTTAAAAAGGGCTCTAGAGGCGATCCCACCAATTACAGACCGGTAAGTCTAATGTCAGTACTGGGTAAATTAGTTGAAACAATATAGTAAAGAATAAAATTGTCAGACACACAGAAGAACATAATTTGTTTGGCAAAAGTCAACATGGTTTCTGTAAAGAAAGATCACGTCTTACTAATCTATTAGGGCATGTCTACACTAGCCCCCTAGTTCAAACTAGGGAGGCTAATGTAGGCATTCGAAGTTGCAAATCAAGCCCGGGGTTTAAATATCCTGTGCTTGACTTGCATCTTCCCAGCCGGTCGCCATTTTTTGAAATGTACAAGTCCGGACTAACTGCCCGCATCTACACGCAGCAGGGACCCGGGATTTCGAATTAAAGCCCTAAATCGAACTACCTGTTATTCCTCCTGCAAGGAGGCAAATGAAATCTCAAAAAAGATATACTGGCATTAGAAAAGTTTCAGAAAAGGACAAATAAAATGATTAGGGGTTTGGAACAGGTCCCATATGAAGAGAGGTTAAAGAGACTAGGACTTTTCAGTTTAGAAAAGAGGAGACCGAGGGGGGATATGATAGAGGTCTATAAAATCATGAGTGGTGTGGAGAGGGCGGATAAGGAAAAGTTATTTACTTGTTCCCATAATATAAGAACTACGGGCCACCAAATGAAATTAATGGGCAGCAGGTTTAAAACAAAAGAAAGTTCTTCACACAGCGTACAATTAACCTGTAGAACTCCTTGCCTAAGGAGGTAGTGAAGGCTAGGACCATAATAAGGTTTAAAAGAGAACTAGATAAATTCATGGAGGTTAAGTCCATTAATGGATATTAGTCAGGATGGGTAAGGAATGGTGTCCCTATGTTTGTCAGAGGGTGGGGATGGGTGACAGGAGAGAGACTGCTTGATCATTACCTGTTCAGTTCACTCCCTCTGGGGCACCTGGCATTGGCCACTGTCAGCAGACAGGATACTGGGCTGGATGGTCCTTTGATCTGACCCAGTTTGGCCATTCTTATGAGACATCCCACGCTCCCCCACCCCTAGGCCAATCAGGCCCTGGGGGAAGGGGAACGTGCAAAGTTTCCTCCGCTCTGTCCCTGCCCTGCACATCGCTTAAAAGCACCACGCACAATTGGCAGGGTGGGAGGAGGCTTCGCATGCTCCCCCGCCCCCAAGC